CATTGGTTCAGTTTTTAGAATCATTTCTTTCTAAAAAATATCTTGTTATGATGATTCTAAAACAACGAATAATTTTCGAATCTTACTTGAATAAAAATGTCACTAAGGATTGGTTTGCATTCTAAGTATTGATTGTAATAAGGCCTCCAGAAACAGTCCTTTCTAATAGGTATGCTTAATTATGTTTATATTGCTATGAGCACTTCATCTCTCACTGTAATGGCTGTCCCAGAGCAACATTTTTACTTTCACCAATATATGAAATATATAGTAAGAGACAGTATTGCGATCGTCAAAATTTTCGAATCTGAGTTTTCAACGGACACACATGTTTTGAGGTCTCCTGAGTCCAAAAAATCAAGTTCCGCAAAATGGTCTGTGTGTGTGTGTGCGTGTGTCTGTGTGTATGTTTGTGACAGGTGTAGCTCAAAAACCAAAAGTCGTATGAAATTGATATTGCATATTTAAGGTTTGTATGCACCCAAGATGTTACATCATCTTTTTCGTCAAAATGGCTAACCGAAAGTGGCCCTTTATATCATCGATAAAACACATTTTTACTATTTTCTCAAAAATGGCTCAAAGGATTTTGATTTAATTCATTATATCAGTGTAAAATTAAGCAGTTTCTAATTTTATGTAGTTTTTATTCTTATTTATGTTCACTAACATGGCTTACAGGGCTATTTTCCAACATTACCTTCCTCTAAATTACATTTAATTTTTTTTATTTGAAACTATTAACCATTTCACATTTATCTCTAATATAAAAAAAAAAGCACAAGCTGATCTAGGGAGGGTTGGAAGGGGCTTTCGGGCTGAAGCCTCCTCATCCCAAAATGATAAAATATGCCTATGTTTTATGTTGAAAAATTGCCTCCTACATCAAAAAGATAGCATGAAATAAATAGTAGATTTTATCTTCTTTAACTTTGTATAAGCGAATAATTTCGATGAAATTTCGGAGTTACAGCCAAAAAACATGGGGAAAATGCGGAAATTTCGCATATACTCGTATCTCGGAATGCAATGGAAAATTCCGTTTCGAAAGTTCAAATTTGGATTCCGCATTTCGAAAAACCTAAGAGAAACCGACTATTTGATTTTTTCCCATATCCAACTGTAGTTGGAAATGGTAATTCACCAGGAGTATTTTGATGACTTTGATTTTAGTTCGTTATAAAAACTCTGTAAAATTAAAAAAAAAAATATCGATTTAGAAATATCGCTGAACAAATGGTTGGTGGTATTTTAAATCATGTAATATTGTTTCAAAAATTACAGGTATTATAACTAAGGCCAACTATTATAACGCAGTCAACTTTTTAATTTTGCTATAGGAGTGACGTGATTAATGTAATTTATTTTTTATAATCCTTGGACACCGATTCCAGGTCCCTCTCTCTCTCTCTCATAAACTAGTAGTAGCCAACCATATATTTCTTATTATCAGAGTATAGGCTAGCACTTAAACAAATAAAAATATCCAAAATGAAATATAAATCAATATAGCGTTTATAATTTTTACTTTCATTTTCCCTTTGTCTAAAAATACTTATTTCTGCTAAGAAGAGAGAAGAGAAGTAAGTGAAAGTTGTGCGATGCGTGCATCACGCCAGATTTTTACCATTCAAACGCATCATGAAAGGTAGATTTTGTTTACTCAAGTTTTGCTTGATGGTGGAATACATCCAAAAGTACTTAATTTTTTCTGAGTTTTTTGTTGAAAATTGAAAATTGGAACTTTCCCGTTATTTGATAATCACCAATTTACACCTGGCAGAAGCCCCTCCTCCCTCCACCTGAATGGAAAAATATATATTTTTTTTTCATTGGTCGGTGTTAGTTTATATAAGTGATCTAAGCCAAATATTTAAATAATCACTATATGTGTGTGTGTATATATATATATATATATATATATATATATATATATATATATATATATATATATATATATATATATATATATATATATATGAGTGCATAGGAGGAAGAAACGTATGTATATATGTTCTTCTATTTCCTTGTTTTGCGATAGAAATTCATCGATGCTTTTGAGTCTCTTTTGAAGCATCGATTTATATCCCTGATTCTTGACATCTGTGACTCTTTTGCATTCCTTATCAAACCAGTTGACTCTTCTCCGATAAAATTCCACTACGATTGTTTCTTCGGCAGCTTTCCTAATACAACTTTTTATGACGCACCACATTTTTTTCTATATTGTAGGTATGTATACGGAGAAAATCAAGTTCTCCATCAACCTTGTTAGTTTTAATCTTTTTACTTCTTTGGCCCCTTTGGTTTTTAAGGTACTTATCCAGTAGCGGGTGGCGTCAAAACCTCCCTTCTTATCTAATCTCATTTCAGATAACCTCCCTTATCTCATCTAACCTAAGTTATTTTGTTGTTTAGTTTTTGTTTCTTGTGCCAGCTGTAAGTTTATTTAATTATGGATCTTATCACATTGTGGGAATTGTCGTCTTCAGAAGAAGAGGCTATCAAATATTTTCAAGACGCTGGTATATTTGATAAGGTGAAATATTGTGATGAGGGTCATAAAATGAAGTTCGACGGGAAGATTAAATGGAGGTGCTTTCGTAGGTGTAACAAAACCGTTTCTATAAGGAAAGGAACGTGCTTAGAGGGGTCGAGGATTTCTTTTTTAATGGCTTTAAAATTCATTTATGGGTGGTCCCATAATTTAACTACAATACAGTGGGGGAAAGAGCAGCTCAAACTATCCATCGGAACTATCATAGCATGGAACAAATTTTTAAGAGGAGTTTGTGCTCATGACATGTTATACAGGTCGAATAAAAAAATTGGAGGGCCTGCCAAAGTCGTCGAAGTAGACGAGAGTCTTTTTTCGAAAAGAAAAAATCTTGTGGGAGAGTCCTAACTGAGGAATGGATGTTTGGCGGAGTTTGCCGAGAAACAGACTAGTGTTTTATCGTTAAAATAAACGATAGAAAAGCAACGACTTTATTAGAAGCCATTAAAAGCAATGTAGAAGAGGGAAGCACCATTTATTCTGACTGTTGGAAAGGATACAACACCAAACAACTCAATGAAGCATACTACAATCATTTTCAGGTGAATCACAGGTATAATTTTGTTTATCCATCAAGTGGAGTCCATACTCAACACATTGAACAATTATGGGGCTCAGCTAGGTGGAGAAATAAAAAACAGAAGAACTACCAGACAACACCTGGATTCATATTTATGTGAGTTTTTGTGGCGGCGGGTGCATGGAGATCAGAATCCCTTCCTCGCTATTTTAAATACCATAAAATTATTTTCCCTACCAAAATAAAATTTTTCATATTTTGTTTCTATCGTTTTTTTCATAATGTTTGTTTTATATGTATAATACAATAAATATGAATACGAAGAGCTTATCAGTGTTAAGGTTATAAACATTGGCAGATAGCAGTCCGACGTTACCCGCTATTAGATAAGTACCGTTTTTTATATTGGAGGTTCCTGATCTCATTTTCGCTATGGGAATGTAATGATCGGAGGTTTGCTCCTCTGTATGTCCATACATTAAAAAGTTCCGTCAGGAAATTGCCATGTACCCTTGTGTATTTGTTTTGAAGAAAGAAGGTGTTACCAACAATGAGGTTCTTTGATTCACAGAAATTGACCAGTCGATATCCATTATTGTTACTTATTTCATAACGGCTAGACTTCGCGATTGCTGAACTGCAACTTCTTTCTCTTCCGAATTTAGCATTAAAATCACCTGCGATGATCTTGTTATCTGCTCTGGGACAGGTCTCAGTTATCTTGTTTCTCAGACGTCTCAGTTGATGAATGACAACTAATCGTGTTATAATTAAAGAATTTATCCTTGTCCTAATAAATAGAGCCGTGGGCTCACTGGTTTGAAGTCCATGATCAAATGTTTACATCTTGCAGAGAATACAAAGCTCGTTCCATAGGTATACAATATGTCTTAACAGCTGTAGTAGAAGGTGTGCTTCCTCTTTTCTAAATGTCCCCTCTCTGTTCATCTAATTTCCGGGATTGCAGTTATATCTTATTTGTATCGGTCCAGCACATCCAGAAGTAGTTGAAGTGCTCCGGGACTGTAAATCGTCGAAATATTCCAATATCCAATCGTGAAGTGTGAATGACCTGAGTCGCGTTACACCATTCTTGATAGTCCAACTCGATTAGTTTCAAGATTTCATAATAATTTATGTTTAAGAGAAGAGTGATATCAGCCCAGTTGCCCCCTCCCCCATTCAGATAGACGGTAGCCTACTTGAAGCCATCTGACTTGTTTGCCCGGGACGGCTACCTAGGGAAGGTGATCCTTGGGTTTTTATTGTTACTGATCTTGGTCAGTAGTTTGCTGTTATTAGCGTATTTGGAATAGCGTCAGTGTGCTTATTTTAATGGGTCGGCAACAATAAAAATAAAATGACTGCATCCTGACCATTTATTACCCATATTATATAGAACACCCCTAACTTTCTCCATTATGAACTAGTCCGTGGTACAGGCCCCTTTTTATTAAATTATTAACATCCGCCTGAAACTTCGTTAGTTTCATCTTATCGTAACCTACAACTATTTTATATATGAAAACTCTTCATAAGCTTCATCTCATCGTAACCTACAACTATTTTATATACGAAAACTGTTGGAATTGGGGCGTTTTCAATGTGATCACAAAATCGAGAAAAAAGGTGGCCTTAAAAAATATTGGGCCGTTTGGTTTAAACAACCTCGTTATTTTGACATTTTGGGGGTTTCGGTTACGCCAAACGGCTCCATATTTTCGGAGGCCATATTTTTTCTCGAGTTTGTGCTCAAATTATCTTAGGATACAATTAGAAAGCAAATGGGTATTTACATTTTTTAGTACCTATTTAAATAAACTAAGTTTCATAATCTCCAGATTGAAAACACCCCGATTCCGAGAATTTTCGTAAATATTTGTAGGTTATGATGAGATGAAGTTATTTTCATAGTTTATTTTAAGTTTCAGGCGGATGTTAATAATTTGTTAAAAAGCGATCTGTACCAGGGACTAAACTTACAGCATTATTCCAACGAAGAAGAGATTAAATCGATAGTTACTCGATTATAATAACGCGCCAAAACAGCCAAAATAGTTGTTTATTTTTCAAACTACTATAATCAGGATTAGCTTATTACACTCTTGGTATCCAGGAAATTATTTTATGAACGAAAATAGTGTACATAACATTTATTTTTTATATTGTTAGCTATTCTATGTACAATGAAGTGTATTATTCCTGAAATTTCCTGGCATAATAGAGATCCTGTATTAAGTATTGATATTCAAGTAAAAAAAGAAAGTGAAAATTTGTATAGACTGTCAACAGGTGGAACTGATTCTCACGTTTTGGTAATGATTTTTTTTTATTTGAAAATATAGAGTGCAATTAATTGAAACTTCAAAATCTCTAATTTGAACTATAAACTGTAAATTTGTTGTTTTGCTATCAAAATTTCTCAAAGCTTGGTAGAAATCATTGGGAAACCTTACCAAATGTAATTGCCCATTGATTTATTACGTTTATTAATTTGAATATAGTCTTAGATGTTTGTTTTGCCATGGTGCTTATTAAAGGGTATTAATTTGTTAATGATTCACTGCAATGAACCAAGGTTGTCTTATTTCATTTCTTAGTTACTAGTGGACTAACAATTTAACAAATAAGTAAAAAGTATCAATTTTTTTTTAGATATGGCATATGCTTCCTCAGAATGATGGATCTTTCAAACTAGAATGTGTTTGTGATCTCACTCGTCACATAAAAGCTGTGAATGTTGTAAAGTTCTCTCCTTCTGGTGAATTTCTTGCATCTGGTGATGATGGTAACTTTTGTCTTAATTACTATCTTAACATTGTCAATTTCATTTGAAATAAATATTTCCAGGTACTATTGTACAAATGTCATTCCACATTCATTGATGGCACAAAATCTCATGATCACATCACGTGTGTTCAGAAGTGACTTAACTATTTGATGAGGCCTGCTCCGCTAACAAGGATCCATTTGGGATTTATTTATCTCTTTGTAGCAAGTGGGAGTCGAAAGTAGCCCTGTAATTTTTTTTTTTTTTTTTTTTTCTTTTGTCGGCCCAAGACTGCCACAGAAGTCCTACACTACTGTCCGTGCCATGTAATTAATGTTCCCATTTTAACTTGAAAGGACCTGTAGGGAGTTTGTCTAAGTCATAAATCCCGAGTTAATTAAGAAGAGGCTATACTGTAAACACGTCAGTCCTCAGTTGTTCTCAAAATCCCATTTATAATAACAAGGGATCTTAGCCCACTGGAGCAGTGGTGCCTAACAGCATTTATTCTTGGTTAAAGGAAATTACAATTATTACAGAGAGATAGGAGACAGGCAAAGAGACGAGATTTAGGCCTTTCCACAATGATGGATCGATCCATGCTGCAAGCTAGTTCCATATGCGGTCAGCATACTTATCATGACTCTTCTCCAAACTTTTCTTTTAGCTTTATGCCATTACTACGTACAGATATGTGTAACAATTTAAATAAAAGTTGAAAACTTAGAAATATCTGATTTTTATATGCACAAATGTTTCAAATAAACACCAATCTCCTCCATCTCATTTTTTGTAGAGTAGAAAGATAAAGAGTTATATAATCAAACAAAGGTATTAATGGGAGGCAAAAATTTTCTTTCTTTTTTTTCAAAATTAGTTAATTATAAGGGTGTATATCTTGAAAATGATATAAGATAGCAAATACACATATATAATCAATTTGTTGCAAATTTTGTATAAATTATTACCTTCCCTCAAACGCATAGTTTCCCTAATATAAGCAGAAAACTGAAAAAAGTGAACTTTTTAAATCATATATGATTTTATACATTTTCTATTTGAAATACCCTGATTTGGAGTAACTGGCATTCATTTGATGTTTCAGGATGGTAAATACTAAAAATTTAAATGGTTTGTAGTTTTACATCTTTAAATAAAAACATTGCTGACTGTATCTATTACAAACACTAAATTAACTGATTTAAAAAAAAGAAATAAATTAGTTGGATGACTATTATCTCCATGACATTAAGTAATGTACATTGTATTGAAAGGAATTTGGATCCTAAATTCTATAAGGATGTTTTTTTTTATTTAGAAAAGATTGTTTATTTGTTATGTTTGTATGTTTTTTTTTCTTCCCTATCTCGCCGTTTAGGCTAAACAGGGTTTTCCTGGGCCAGGGAGTGGGTGTGGGGAATTTTAAAATCCACTACTTTTTTAATCTCTCATAACTTCGGTTGTCTGGTTGCCGGGCAACTCGCAGTGCTGTGCACATGCTTTAGCTCATTCCCCCTACACCATGACCCCAACATCCCATATGTTCTAGACCTGGGATAATCCCAGAAAAATTCTCATAATTTTATCAGAACCCTATGTATCATCTGAATCCCCTTGCACAACCCCTATCTAGCACCACTCATCCCTGTAATCCTCCAAGAAAGTTAAAACAGCAGTTGAACAGTTGAACCGCAACCTTCTGTGATGTATATATTGGAGTTCTGGCAATAGCCAGATTCTCCATTCACTGACATGAGTATATGTGACGAAAGTGCTCAATCTCCACGGGCTTTAGCGGTTGAGAGAGTAGCACAGAGATCTCTTGGAGTCCTGCTTTTCCTCTATAGTGGGAATTGTATATATGTATGTGTGTGCTTTTTAATTAACTTATCTTTATTATTTTTTGATTATTATTTAGATGTTATTTTGATTTTGTTTATTTTATGTTTTCAGTATATATGGTGTAAATGTTACCTCATTATAATTGTTATCCGTATGACAGAATGTTATTTTACTGAATAGATAAGTTACAAAATGAGTGTTTGGCTATTTGAATATGTATGGTAAAATTGAACTGGACTTTATTAGTTCTTTTATTCATTGATAAAAGTTTAACAATTCTCTCCTCTTTAAATCACTTTTAATATGTTATTTTAAAATCCAAATATTTTTTTTAGAATCAGCTATTATCATTTGGAAGATGAAGACAGATCAAGATGCTCCAGATCTTGATGATGAGCCAGTAGAAAGCAGAGAAGTGTGGATACAGGTAAAGAAACAATTATTTGAAAAAATTTATTTTGAATTATGTATGTAGGGATGCATGAAAATTCATTAATTTATGAGTTTCTAGGGTATAATAATTATACTCCTAACTATTTCTTTTACTAAAAAATAATTATGAAATGTAGCACATGTTAATACACACTTAATAAGAAATGAAACCAGGATATATTTCGAAATTTTAAAGTGTATATTTTTTTTTAATTTGGCTTAATTTCCTTATGTTTTCCAACAAGGGCAGGAAAAATAAGTTATCTTAATGGTTTCCCAACCTATCCTTGCCTGAGTGGGGGGGAAGGTTGAGATGCATTCTGTGGGTCCATAAAAAAATAAATCTCAACTCACTCAGGCCAGATTCAAGTCAGCACTGCTACATGTATGTACCATTAAGGACTCATAATTAAATTAATGTTGCAAATCAGTCATTCTTATTAATAAATAGTTAAACCCACCAGTGGTTGACACATGCCAACCACACAAATTTTACCCATATAGAAGCGGAAAAAAATACTCGTAATTTCAAATTTGGTGGAGCAAAAAGTCAATTTTTTTATACCAATTAAAATTATAAATACAAAATAAAAAATTTTATCCAGTGCATGTTTAACTAAATAATAAATTAAATATAATCATAGTAAATTTAAAAGATGAGAGAAATAATTCTGATTCCTAATTATATTGTATTGGTAAGTTTATAAATCCACCAGTTGGTGACCCATCTGTAGATGCTATATCACAAGTTTTTTCTTCCATTTATACTGTTCTTACTTTAAAGGTTGCTGTCACTCCTGAAATTTTCTTTCAAAATCCAACTCTTTAAAGAGTTATATTGATTTAAAACAGTCTCCTTTGATTTATATTAAAAGTCTATTACACTTTAATTTTTAAATTTGAATTTTTTATCATAGGTAAAAGTTTTAAGAGGACATCTCAATGATATCTATGATCTATCATGGTCTCCAGACTCTTCACACCTACTTTCAGGATCTGTTGATAATACTGCGATAATTTGGGATGTTGTTAGAGGTATATTATCATTTCATGTTATCACTGTTGTAGTGTTGCTTTCATTTTTTTTATTATTTGCCAATTTTTTTATTTTTAATAAAAATGTTCAAATGAAAACATAGTCTCACTGAATAGTTATGAATAATGATGGAAAGATTTGTTATTTGTGATTCAACTTCAACTATTGGTGTTAAATAGGTAACCGTACAGTTAAAATAAAAACACACTTTTGATCACAATAGTCCTACTTTATTTGTTTTTTTATTCCAACTATTCAGCCCTTAGACCATTTTCAAGGGAAAAAACTTTAACAAATAAAACAATTACCACAGCCTAATTATATGTGCTAATAATTATTTTCACTTAATACTTTATTTTACATACCTATTTTAATAATTATATATCATTATGGACTGAATTGCCCTTGTCAACATCATTTAATTAGTTAAAACTAAAACCTGTCTCTATAAGTTTGTGTTTATTTTTTTTAATTTTTTGCACTTACATATATTTATCTGCACCTGTCAATTATTATCGACAATCAGCAGATGTGCTGGCATAGTAATGAGAGAGAAAAAAAAAAGAAAACAAAAATAAATAATAATAAATAAATAATAAAATAAATAAAAAGGCTTGATAGGCATGAGGAATAGCAATATCCAGCGGTATCCCTTCCATGGCTTTTATTTACTAACATTTAAGCAGATCCCTCATCCAGACTCTTTTCAGTCGTCTTCTGGAGTTCTCGGGCATACTAGTTGTGGCCATTTCTTTTACCAGCTGGTTGGAATGCCCGTTTAACGTGTTATGAAATCGTTTGTAGTACGTTCGTATGTGTTCATTGACTGTCGGAACATGTAGTTCGGTGTGTAAAGTGTGATTGTTTACGTACCATGATGCTTGAGTGATTAGTCGTAGTATCTTAGACTGAAAAGTTTGAAGTTTTTTTATGCGAGTTGGTTTTGCAATTCCATGTATTTGTAGTCCGTAAGTCCAGAGAGGTTTTAAAAGATACATGTAAATACTTAGTTTCTGTCTTGCTTTTAATTTGGAATGTCGTCTTAACAGTGAATATAACAATTTAAGTCTTAGATTTAATGTGACTTGTTTTTTCTTCACATGTGGACCCCCTGTCATTCTCCTATCGAACGTAAGGCCTAGGTATTGTACTCTGTCTGTTTGTGGAATCGGTATGTTGTCGAAGTATACAGGAGGGCATGTTTCTGGTCTTAGAGTTAATGTGATGTGCTGTGACTTCTGATAATTTATTTGAGTTTTCCAAAGTTTACACCAATCGAGTATAATTTGTAAGTGATGTAAGTTAAGTGATGCCTCTGTAGGATTGTCGTGCCTGGTAATGATAGCAGTGTTGTCTGCATAGGTTGCTGTAAGAGTATGGATACTTTGAGGAATGCCGTGTGTGTATATGATGTACAGTAGTGGGGCTAGGATTGATCCCTGAGGTACACCAGCGAAAACTGATCGAATTGAGGATAGACCTTGGCCATCTCGAATGGAGAAAAATCTATCTGAGAGAAATGAATAGAAAATTAAGTAGTAAGTATGTGGAAGTATGGTCTTAAGCTTGAAGAGAAGCCCCTGATGCCATACTTTATCGAACGCTTGGGCGACATCCAGAAATACTCCGGTTGCATATAATTTCCGCTCGTAGAGATGTAGTCAGTCACCCTGTGCAATTGTTGTGTTGTTGAATGTAAGTTTCGAAACCTGAATTGATGGTCAGGAATAATCTGTCTGTCTGTTAGTATATGTAATAGTCGTGGGTACAATAGTTTTTCGAATAACTTAGAACATACTGGAAGTAAACTAATCGGTCGATATGAAGAAGGGTTGCTAGTGTCTTGTATTTATTTTAAAACTCATTACATTGTCAACAATCACGAAATTAAAATTTACATTATTAAAACAATCTTTATTTATTGCTAACTAGTTCATAAATATTACATTAAAATAAATACAATCACAGCCCTATTATCAATTCATCCTTTTAAAAAAAACATAGTTTTTATTTTTGACATTCAGTTTTATAACACAATACACCATTTTTATATTTAAAATTTAACATAAATTATTCTAAAAAATATATCTAAACTCATTGTTTTTGCATTTTCATACAATTATAAATTAATTTTGCTTATTATTTCCATATAATTCTGACCTATTTGCCCCAAATCCTCTTTGAAATTAACAGTATAATTTAAGTTCTTGGTAATATACAAAGCTTCTAAATTTTTTCTCTATTTTTTTTTTTTTCTTTTTGTAGAATTCGAACCTTCTCAAAGTCCAATTTATGTTCTATATTGAAAGCATGTTTGTACCAGTGCTGTTTTTTATTGTCTTTTTCATGTTTTTAGATCATTCTGATGCTGGTACATTTTATCATTGATGTATTGCTTTGTTTCTTATATATATATATATATATATATATATATATATATATATATATATATATATATATATATATATATATATATATATATTGCTGGACAATTTAAACATGAGACCTTATAAACTAACCCTGCTTGATAATTTTTCCAATTTTATCCTGTAAATAACTATATATTTTTTTTTTCTTAATTACTTCATTTTTTAATCCATTAATGTACCTACAACCATAATAATGTTTTTTACATATCCTTTTGCTTCCCCTATTTTCACTTTCTTTCTGGGGTAAAAATTCCCCAATACATTTTAAAAACTTTTTCCTTTACTTTTTTCAATCTATTAACAAATCCCATGAGCAGTCCAAACAGCTGGTGATATATCTCACCACTCTACTTAAATATTTCCTTCCAAAAAAGTATTTGAGTACATATATTAAATACTATGGTTAATTTTTTTTTTTTTTTTTGTAGGGAAGAAGACAGCTATCCTACCAGAAGCAAAAAACTTTGTACAAGGTGTTTCATGGGATCCAGAAAACAAATATGTGGCTACCTTAAGTAGTGATGGGTAAATTTTTATTTAGCCTTAAAATGTTTCTTAAAATTAATTTACAAATTTAGTTATGCCTTTCTCTTGTGATGATCATATTTGATAAGTGATTATTAAAAAAAAAAGAAAATAGTTAATTTTCTTTAAATCAAATTAAATTTAATTTAGTAGTTGATCATTTCTTAAATGAGATGCTCTATAATTACTCGTACTGTTAATTAATTAATTCATTTTTCTGTAAATTTTAATTAAGTTATTGATTATCTCATTTTAATTTCAGAAAATGTCGTATTTACAATTGGAGGACGCATAAGTTGTGTGCCAGCATATGTAAGGGTAGATCTCCAGGAGCTCCCTTGGATACTAAACCATCTCGATTTTACCATGATGATACTTTAAAAACATTCTTCCGGCGATTAGACTGGTCTCCATCAGGATGGCTTTTGGCTACACCATGTGGTGTTATCGAGCCTGTAGATGGCAATGGAAAGCCTCAGTGTGTTACCTGGCTGCTTTCAAGGAAACAACCTAGCTGGTACGAGAAGTGACGCCAAAACTTAATGAATTACTTGAGTTTTTATTATTCTGGTTTAAATATTATCCTTGTCTTATTTGACACCGAACTTTCTGCTATGTTTAGTTAAAAATTTTATTTCTATACTCAAATATTTCAAATTCAAAATAATAAAATTAACATTATATTCGAACCATTATGATCACACAGTAATTGTGATCTTAAGATCATGAGTTTAAGTCCCATTTTTTGATTCATAGTATGACTGGTCACTATAGAAAGTTAGACCAATAACTCCTTGATTTGGGGAATTTCAATAACCAATAACGTGCAAATCTGTCTGGCAAAAATAAATTATAATAAAAGTGTATAGTCAATTGATTTCTAATCCTTTAACGTATAGTTTGAAACAAAAGATGTTCAAAAGTTAAAAATATCTTCCACTAGTAAAGTTTTAAACCATTTTAATGTTGTGTATCATATTTTTGCCATAGAAGATTTTATCTATATCCTATCTGTCTATTAGTTTTTGTTCTGTACAATTATATTTTGTAATTAGTTTGTTTTATTTATAATCTTTAAGAGAAAATTTAATCTAAAATATTTTGTTTAAATTAATGTGTTGTTTTTTCACAGCCCCGTTTTATATTATCCTGGATTCAATCAAGCGTCCATGATATGCCGATGGTCGCCTATAAGGTACTGCCTTCGAGAGGGTGAAAAACCTGTCATAGGCCTGCCTTACCGTATGGTGTTAGCTGTGGCTACTAAGTCGTCAATTATAATATATGATACTCAGCATGCTGTTCCTATTGGATTAATATCGAACATTCATTATACAAAACTAACCGATATGGCTTGGTATGAATATAACTTTAATATTCATGTAGTTTAAATATTTAGTTGTATTGATTAGAAATGTTATAAAACTTGTTCCTATTATTATGATTAGTTTGTACACTTGGCCATTTGAACAACTTGATTTCTTTTTGTTTTAAAAATGGACTCATTTTCATCTCTATATCAAATAACCACTTGTGAAATTATAAATCTTATTTGATTTAAGTTTTGACAAACTAGACTTCTTTAATCAATTTATTTTATTAATCAAAAACGGGAAGTCTTGTTTGGCAAAAATTAAATCTGAAATTGATACAATAAAAGATTTCACAAGAAATTCAAAAGATGTTTACATTTATAAGATTTTTAAAAATATTGGAAATAAAAGTTATTGGGTAAATATAGATACTTCCTATATGCTTAAAGCTTTTGATCACTTGGTGAATTTTGTTTGATATTTGAAAATGGTCAAACCAAATTCAAATTAATAATAAAGGATAATTTATGCTCATATTTTTTTGTTAGAAGAAAAAATCACAACAAATATCAATTTTACACATGCGTAATATTAAAACCTATTTATATTTATTAGTTGGGTCATATGAATTATGCGATGTTACCGAATGGCAATATAATATTGAAATAATTAAATGCAAGTATTAACTAATAAGAATTACTTTATTTTGTGAAAGTAAAGTAATTGCATGCGAGTATGAAAGTTAGGTCAGGAGAAGTGTAAAATTTAGCTAAATCATAGGTATGATGAAGTGTATCAAAATAGAAAAAAAAAAACTTTTATAATTCGTGATGGTCTGTTTTTTTATGTATTATTATATTTTATTAATAGTCAGCCAGATTTTTGTTTCACTTTATTTTGTTTTATTATCACTCTATAACATTCCTTTTAATTCAGTGGAATAGCATGAAATGAATTGATATTGCTTCTTTGTTCAAATGAAACAATTATTATGTTTTATATTTGCTTACAGGTCATCTGATGGGCTTGTGTTGCTTGCATCTTCAACTGATGGCTACTGTTCTGTTATAACTTTTGCCCCTGGTGAGCTTGGCGATGTTTATGTAGCTCCAGAAACTACAAAACAAACTTAAATAAATTGAAGAAAAAAAAAAAAGGGCAGCATGATATTCATTTTAATAATGTGACCTTTTTTATTGTGATAGAACAAACATTAAAAGTCATAAGTGATATTTATAAAATTATAACAACAAATTGTAAATTTTTTATTATTTTCTTGTATAGTTAATTGTACTTGATAAAGAAATATAGATGTATAATATGAATCGAAAAACTTAGTGTTTCATTTTTTTTTTTTCAATTTCCTATACTATTGCTGTTTGAACTGTAATCCTTTAGGTTTAGTGAAATTAATCGATTAACCTTCTGCCTCTGTAAAATGCATCAACTCTAATGATGATTTATTTTTATTTAAATACATTTTTTTTTTATTAACAGCTGAATTTGAACTTAATGAAAGATACATTTTGTTTATATCTACTCATGAAGATCTTTTCTTAAACCTTTTTGTATTCTCAAATAGTTGCTATCATACGCTAAAAATTTTGATGGTCCTCACTCCCAGGTATAACAGTATGGAAGGGAAAAGGATAAAACATAATTTTTAAGTATAAGAGGTTTACAAGTTCTCTGCAATTTGGGTCGACTGTTTGTAGGTATGTAATGATTTTTTAAGTGAAGGGCTGGATCAGTTTTAATTTTACCGGCTCAAAATATTCAATGCTATTCCATGAGCGTTTTGAAACCATTTGGAACAAATTATTGCATAAAATGTGTTAAACCTATCCGATAAAAGCTATGTAATGATTTTTTGTGCTAACAGTTGGAGTGATTTTAAGTTTAATGACACAAATTAACCAGTGAGTGTTTTGTTAAAATTTGAGTTAAAAACACTTAACGGATCCAGATTTTATTTTGGGGGCCTTCAGCCTACAAACTTATATATATATATATATATATATATATATAATAATTATTTTGGAAGGAAAAGAAATAAATTTTATTGTTTTGGGGGAGGAGAGCTTCAGCACGGAAGCTCGCTCCCTCCATAAATCCAACTCTGTCAACAAATAATATAAAATTTGTTTTACCTGTCAGTTAAGAGGTATTTAATGAATTGTTAAGCTAATGGCTTAAATTACACAGTGATATATTGTGAACATTTTGAAACAGCTCAGCTCAAAGTAATAAAGGCAATTTTTTGTTATATTTTCAGTATTCTCAATTTTTTGTGGATTTCATATCATAAAGCTCAAATTTGTAATTTTATGGGATGAATGTAAATGCTCAATACTTTAAAGACCTAAAATGTTATAAAAAATAATTTCATCGAAAAACAAAACTGATTTCTGAAATAATCCTGTCCATCCCAAGGGAATGTACTTGCACACCTAGATGCATTGTTAAAATAATTTACATCTAGGAATATTTAAAGTTTGTTTAGTAGTCAAGTGCCTTCCACTACACATAATGGGTCCTGGTTAGTAGATTTACCATGTATAGATGCATGTCAACGACCGAGTTTGTCTTGATTTTCTTTCTTGGGCTGGTAGACACCGGACTTTACTAAGTTTGAATATTTGAAGACATCAGTTTCCCTGACCGTGTACCAAGGTTTTTTAATTATATATACAAGTATCTTACCGTAGAATGGGTAGAGTTATTTCATTATTCAGTGTTTCTTTTTCTTCAAAATTACCACTGCACATACCTAACAAATTTGAACTGACCTACAGTCACAAGCCAGTATAAGAACAAGTTCAGTTCAAACTCATGTAATTGACTAGCTGGTGGTTTCATTAACATTTTTAAAAATAGTTCGAGCCAGTTTTTAAACTAATCTCATGTTACTTGTGCTGTAGAATTTTGTCCTGTTACTTAATTTTTAACTTTCAATTTTGTTTGTTGTTTGTTCAATTTTTATTAAAAATGGTCATGTGGAAAATTAAAAAACAATAATAATTATTTTAAAAAATTTAATCTTACTATTAAATAGTTAAAGCCAAGTTATTGAATATAGAGATTACATGGTACATTTTACATCTTACAACAAAAAAAATTCCGAAGTCCTAGAAAATAAGTTCACAATAAGTATGGATTCGAGAGGTGAATAATAATAAACAGTAATTATTTATCAATAATTCTTGCTCTATTACAAAACTATTGACAATGTTAAAAAAAATTCTTATAACTAAAAATTATTTTTTACATGCTTATAAAATTGTTATAGTGTTGCTTTAAAACAAGCATACAAAAATACCCATTTACCTCTTATTTTGCCCATTGATGCAGGGTACAAAGAGATGAAAAAGTTTTAAAAAGAAATATTTAGTATATTTATGTGTTATGATATAAGATCTTTATCCGAATTCAAGACATTTTGTTGAATTATTTATTATTAGATCCTGCCCAAAAATCTTCATTTAGTGTTCAGACTAGTGTTGCAGAGCTATTGATCTTTGTGGATACTGAGCAAAGCCCCGTTTGGCCAAATCTTCTTTTGGATCTATGTAAGGTACGTTAAATTTGTGGACTTCTTTTACTTTCCTTATCATTTCATTTTTCAATCTGCAATTAAAATAAATTTTTTGTTAAGAGGCTATATGTTACTATTAATGGATACAATTATTTTTCAGAACTTACCTTGTTAATTTGACAAACAAAATTATGACCAGAATAAAAAGTGCAACTACCAAAATCAGCAGACCACAAGAAAACCAATAAACCTCAAGCTGAAGAGTATCCAACTGCTACAAAATAAAAAAATACATTAATATTTATTAAATATTTTATTAGGGTCATAGAAAACCAAAGAGGATTCAATCAGAATTCCAAAATTAAAAAAAAAAAAATACACTTTCTGTATAACGGAAACAGATAATAACTACTATTTACACAATAAATCGCTTGAACTGGAATAGTAATTTTGTTACCTGTAAAAAAAATTTGTAGACTAAAATATTCTGTCATATCAGATATAGAACTTTTTTTAAAGGACTAAATTAAGAATAAAAAATATTCAATTATCACTGAGCTTTTAATAGAAATAAAGTAATAAACCTTAAAAACATAACTTTGACTATAAACATAAACGTATTTTAATTAATGAAAAACTACATATATTGATTCTGTATAGTGTATGATTTTTGTTTGTCATGCTGAAAATAAATTTTATTAGCCCACGGTATATGGTTTAATTGAATTCACTAGTTTTTATTCACTCTTCGTTACCTTCTATAACTTTGTATGCTAGACATTAATTTTTCTAAATTATAGTTTTACTATGGTGTATTATTTGTCTTATTCTCCGCAATTTTATCAACTTGGACAAATATATACTCTTTATTTGATTATCAAATCTGTCATAGTTTTTATTTATCCAAATTTTACTAATCATGAGAGATACTTAATTTTTTTGAAATAAAAATAAAAGAACCTTAAGAGGATGAAATTTTGACATTTAAGCCCTGTTTTAGTATATCTATGAGGATAATACATAATTGATATATATATATATATATATTTTTACCTGTTTATCTTTAATTTGAAGGACTCCTTGTCTTAGGCTGATTTCTTATTGGACTGTTATAAAGAGACGTTTCCATCGAGTGAGTCTGTCGGGTGCTCCGGCCCACCACCTCAGGAGCACCTGACAGCCTCACTCGATCGAAACGTCTCTTTATAACAGTCCAATAAGAAATCAGCCTAAGACAAGGAGTCCTTCAAATTAAAGATAAACAGGTAAAAGAATATAAGACCTCAATCTGTCTCTCAAAGAGGCGCGAAAGATTATATAAGGATGTTTATATAATAGATATGCATTAGCAATATATATATATATATATATATATATATATATATTTTTTTTTTTTTTTTTTTTTTCTATTGACTCTACAGATCTTATAGATACTTGCCCTATCCATCTTAACCTCCTTGCCTTCATATCATGATATATTTACTGACCAGTTTCTTTTAGCAGTTCTTTATTCTCCATGTGTTAAGGTTCTGATCCCAGATAGGTCCTGTTATCCTATGGAGAACTTTTCTTTCGAATCTTTCAATTGTGGCTTCTAGTGTGTCGGTTAGAGTCCCTACAGCAAAACTGGCACTGTACACCCTTAGTTTTAGATTTCTGGAAATTTTTCTAGATTTCAGTAACCTTAAAAGGGAGGAGAAAACTCTGTTTGCACTTGTTATTCGCGGGTCTATCTCTGTTAGTTGATCATTTATTGAGGTTATTGTTGAGCCGAAGTATTTGAATCTATCTACTTTCGGGAATGACTTCCATCTAGTGACGGGAATGACCGAGTCCAGGCAGATCATGTTATTAGGGTGGATTTTTCGGCTAATTATCATATATTTTGTTTTATTGACAACGGACTACATTGATTTGTAGTCCGGTTTGCAATGCTTCTCTTAACAGAGTCCGAGCGAGTATCTTGATATCTTTTTGATTGCTTCCGAGGACAGACATACTTGATATTAAAGACCATATAATTGTATATTAATTCTACGATTCCCTCATCCTCAACAAAAAAATAAAGTCATAAAATTTGCTACTATTGCAACTTAATGTGAATTCATTCTCTCCAAGGCAGACTTCCTCTGATTAGTGGATTTATTTTTTATAAAAAAAAAACATCGTAATCATTGATCCAGCTATATTAAATTAGACACATTCAGTCAGAATTAGTTTGATGAGAAAGGACATCACTGGTTTTATGTTATTATTACCACATCATAGGGAAATGGAGACGTTGCTTGATATTTCTTTTTCACTCAATTTTTTAAAAAATAAAACGGGTATTCTTTAAAAATGAGAATAATTATTAAACTTATTTTAGAATGTTAACATAGCGGAGATAATGCCTTCAACATCAACTGGATATATGCTATTCTTGGATGTTCAATTCTGATTTGGAGCAACATCATCTCCTTCCTACTTACATCTGCCATGACTTATGTTCTGTCCAAGACTTTACTTCTCAATTCTGAATGACTTAATATTAATTATTTTCGAGTACTTTTAGGGCCCACAATGATCTAGTAATATGGTTAGTTCTTTATTGGCAACGTTCTTGAATTAACGCCTTTGCGATTCGTTCATCTCAGCAGTATACTTGTGCATTTGCGGCTTTTGAGTTGAATTAGATATAATAAAAGCTGATCCAGTAGATAAGTTCGATTTAGACCTATCCAAAATTAATTTTGGGCAATGTGTAGATGAAATTTTTTTAGCATTCCTGAAAATTAGTTGCTTAAGAACATTAAGGATATTCGTTAACTGAAGACATAGTTAAGATTTCCTTAAATTCTATGGGGATAGCCGGTTTTTATTGTGCTTATTATAAACATTTTAACGGAATAAATTGTGGATAATTCACTTTCTGTTAGTTGTAGGGTTGCTTTAGTATTCAACTGGAACTATGTTTCAAGCGGTATCCGTTGGTCGAGTGGTAACTTTGTGAGAAATATTTGGTGTTGTATTAATGATCGATTTATCAAGTTGAGGGGTTAATGGACCTAGTGAGGTACTGGTCCCAAAAGCTTATGTTGTAATAAGTATTATTGCATGGTGCTGTATATAGTTTAGAAAGATATTCATAGACAAATCTGGTGATAATCTATCTTGGAATACATAAAGCTTAGTATAGTAAATTTAGCATACGCAGGTGATTCATCGTGACTCAACTACTTCTCAACAGGCTTCTTCTCTCACCATATTAGGCTCTCTCCTCTTATCAAACTTGCAAGTTTTTAACCATTGTCAGAATTATTTTCATTTTATTTTGAGGTAATAGTTTTACGAAAGGTAGGTTTAATTGATTGCCAACTAACCAATTGGAGCGTTAGGGATCAGTGTCATATCTAGAGTGGTGCAGGTAGGGCACGTGCAAAGGTGAGTACAAGATTCGCAAACTTAAAAATCCAACTTAACCAATAATACAACCCAGATTTAAATAATCTCGCGATTCCTGTAACTGCTTAACTGTGGTGAACAAGTGAGAGGGGATCCGCGGCGTAGTACTAGAAAAACTCGATAGGAAATGATGTATACAAACCATACCCTAAAAAATGATTTATATTGAAGTCTTTATATTGAAAAATGAAGTCGGAAAAACACCAAAAAGATCAAAATATTCAAATTGCTTTTTGACTAATTGAGATGATTTTTTCTATTAAGATGTTTGGGTTTTACATTTATTGTATCCTGAAATTGGATTGAATTTCGATCCTCGCGAATTACAAATGATCGGAAGGTACAATCGCACTGTTAATCACATTTTGTGAGCGATCTTTTAGTAAGTTAAAATTAATACTTTCGTTATGCGAGCTAGCTTTGTTCAGTCACCGAAGGCCAAGAAGGTGAAATTGTAATTGCAACATTTTTACCCCTCACTCGTTATAAAATAGAGAATAAATGTGTTTTTTAAGGTTATTGACTTTTATTTAGTGTATCTGTTTTTTATATTAAGATAACTTAGCGTGGGACGCATTTCTGATGCGTGCCCTAGGCGCCATTTTCGATTGCGGCGCTTCGCATTTCGATTGATGAAAAGAAGATTTAATCAATTATTTATTCAGTAATCATCTGTTAAGATGGACTTTGAAAAATATTACGAGATAAAGCAGCATCTAGAGGGTAAGGATAAAGTTGGTCATTTATTTAATAGACTAAGGGTACATATAAAAACTAATTACATTAGTCATTCTTTAAATCAGTAAAAACTCATACGTAAAGCAAAAGAACATCTCACTCGCTGAAAAAATTAAACAATATGTAACTTCCACCATTGTTATTAGCAGGTAGAATATGAAAGAATATAAAATGAAATCATTCAGGTTCATAGAAGACTGACAAAATCTTGGAATGAAAAAGGAAGGGAGAGAATCGCCTGTCTTGAACCTTGGAGTTAATGAAGTACCTCTTCAGTTACCAAATTGAGTACTTGCATGGGAAAAATCGCTTGAATTTGATGTAAATCGAACTCAAGTGATGAAGAACGTATATAAGAATGAGATTGTACTTTTTAAATAACAAGAAAATTTTTTTATTTAGTTAAAAACTTGAAATAACAGTGTGTCTAGGAGGTGTGGTGGGGACTGGGAACGTGACCTATGTCTACCGCAGTTTAACACCTACGGCTGCACAAACACGATACTGTCTACGTTTTCCTCAGATCTAATTTATCAACACGTATTTATAAAATCTAATAAAACACATTTAAAATAAACAATTTTTTATTCAGCGAGAAAAAACGAAAAGGTGGATATTTTTAGAGTGAAAGTTTAGAAGCTGGAAACCCTATTCTAAACTAAAATATGAAATAGCCCTGTATCCATTCTTGTGACTTAGCTCTGTTCTCACCACTTTTCAAGGCTTAAATGCCAATTTTTCAAATCACTTCCACAATAGTACCTATAATAGGGTGTATTTGAAATAATTAACAGTATATAGACTAAATATTAAGGTGATTAATAGTAACAAAAAATAGCTAAATCGAAATTATGAGAGAATTTGAAAATTAACGAAAAATAAAAAACATTTTCCAAAGTTGAAATTATTTATTATTGAATGGGAAATAAATGTTTCTATAGAAACTAATAGGATGTATTAAAAAAAATGACCGTTAAATCAAATTCAAGATTTCAAAGGACTGTAAATATTTTAATCCTATTTAATACTAAATAATCTCTTTAGAGCGTTCTCTAAGCTTTTTTAATCCCATTCGACTTCTTAAAAAAAGCTTCAGTTTAGTTATTCGTTTCAAAGAATAAACATTACACTGTCCCACGAAATTATCGTAATTTTAAGGCATTACTCGAAAAAAACTTCACAGTTGCTGAAGCAACTCGTGAAATTATTAAATATCAAGAGAAAGATGTCCTTGACCAGCGCACTGCGTAGGTTTGAAAAATTTAGCAGTGGAGATGCGACGTTGGAAATGAAGAAGGGCTCCGGACGACCATTAATGGATATTGAGGAGATTCTGCAGGAAGCTGTTGAGTTAAATCCGTCCACAAGTACTCACGAACTTGCCAGGAAGTGTGATGAGTGGAAAGATACTGTTAGAAGCCATCTACTCTCCATGGGGAAGGTGAAAAAAAAAAAGCAGGAGACTGGTCCCACACGAACTTACTCCTCAGCAATCAGCTAAGAAGTTAGAAATTTGTGAACATTTATTGAAAAACCATCCTGATATGAGATTTTACCGGAATATTGTCACTTGTGATGAAAAGTGGGTTTACTGGCGAAATTTGAATACCCGTGAGAAATGGCAAGATCGCGGTAAAGCTTTTCTAGTTGCTTCAAGAGGACAATTTAAAAAAAAAAAGAAAGCATGCTCTGCGTTTTTTTACTTTTTAAGGTATTATTCATCACGAATCTGTTCCTGATGGACACTAGCGGATCCAGGATTTAGTTCTGTGGAGAGGGGAGGAGACTTCAGCCCGAAAGATTTTTTTACAATCTATATAACGATAATTACTTAGGAAGAAAAAGAAAAGGACTAAGTACCTATATGAAATAGAGTTTAAGTGATTCTTTAAGTACTATTAAATGAAATTACACGAACAATAATACTGTTAGAGATAATTATTAAATATTGTTTTCATATGACGTGGTTATATTTTACCATTTTGGGAGGATTCAGCCCGAAAGTCCCTCTCCTCCATCCCCCATGC